ATAAGAGACAGCCATAAAGGGCTTCAAAAAACCAAAATCAAGTATTGTTCCAAAAAGCCCCAGGGTGGAGAGCTCCCAAAACCACCAGGAAAAAGGACTCAAAATATCTGTACGGTGAAATGCTTCAAAAAAGCCCCAGGATGGAGAACTCGCAAAAAAGTGCTGGGGTGGAGAGGTCCCAAAAAGCCCTGGGCTGGAGAGCTCCCAAGAAACCAAACAGCAAACAGCTCCCAGAATACCAAACACTGATCCACCCCTCCAGGGCAGTGCGGTGATGCAGTCTAATAAGAACTGGGCATTTTAGCACTGAAGAGAAAAGCGGTGCTATGAAACACTCCGAAAAAGCTATTGTCATGTCAGGTTGAGAGTTTCTAATGTAATTCTTATCCTCTTCCAGATCTTCATACATCTTAAAGACATTTACTCAGTGGTAGGGATTCCTCTTTTCAGGTAGGCATTCTCCTCACCAGATTTGTCTTGGTAGGGTCAGAACAGGCATCGTTTCTAAATAGTCTTGCTGTCCACTGTGAGTAATTATTTTCTGGTTTAATATTCAGTGGACTGCCACATTAGTCTTGTGGTCTGTCTGGAGCTTATCTGAGCGTGTAGGCCAGACTTTGTGGTTAAGTTGTGGATAAAAGCAGACTGGTTTCTATCTGTCTGTCTGCAGATCTGTCCAGTTCATTTCTTCTTTCATACTACATGGGCTTTTCTTGTGGTTGTACCGTTGTTTTAAAGTGTGGTGTTTTGTTTTTTCCTGTTTGCAGGCTTCCATTAGCAAACAGAGAGAGTATATCAGAACAGCAGGACTGCGGTCAACAATTGCACGGGCCATGGCATCTCTGGCTGAAATCAGTGTAAGTGGATATTCGTGGCAAAGACATAGAGTTGTTGCGGAGGATATCGGACCTGCACAACTCTATGAGAGTTATAACAAGCAAAGTTGTTTGTTTTTCTAATAGTACATACATATGCTCTCGCCAAAGCTCTTACTTCAAAATTAGCAAATCAGCAATTAGACAGCTATCCACCTTTTCTCCTATCAGCATAAGACCACGCTAACACGCGCTTGTGCAGACCAATCAACTCCTCGTTCACGTGCTGTTCATGCGGCGGTAACTTCTCACAGTTCAGGACTTTTCCACAGTTCAGTGTTGCAGCTGTCCGTTGTTTTTCCCTGCCACCTTGGCACAACCGAGCAGTTTCTGATCTTTCTCCCAAGGCCTGTTTCTCATCAAAGCCTTGCTGCTTCTCAGAGGCTGTGCGAAGAAGCTGACAGGCCGATGTCTCCCACATGTCCCCCTTCTTGGTTGAAGGGGGTGTTGCTGCTCATCAGGGTTGGAGCCGGAAGCTCTGAGGAAGTACGGTGATTTTAATGCCCTCTGCTCTGATGCACGTGTACAGGGGTTTTGCCTTGTCTGTGATCAGAGTGTGCTGTCACTACCGTTTAACCAGAAACTTGCTGTAATCCCAGGTTCTTCTCAGAAGAGGTGTTACTCCTTGTCCAGATATCAGTCTACTTTGCATGATTTTTTCACTGGCCAGGCTTCAAACCTTGTTTTGAGTTGTTTTCCCAAGGGAAACCAGAAGCAAGCGTGATCTTTTCCACAGATTAATTTGGTACCAATATTCATCTGCAGTCTGCTCCTAACTTTTTTCCTCTAAATGTCACCTTGAGAGTGGATGCATTGTGTTTACTGAAACTAGGAATGCTTCTTTCTATGTTCTCTTCCAAGCAAGTTTGGCCTGGTAAACCGGTGATCGTTGTTACTCTGAATTCATGAGCATGTGTAGGTGATGTGTACATCTCTGAGTAAGCTTGTCCTGGGAGAGGAGTCTGTCTTGCTTGGGATGCAATAACCCCTTTATGTTTGTAGGTGGGTGCCTTTGTGCTGGATCCCATGTGTGGGCTAGGAACGGTACTGCTGGAAGCTGCCAAAGAGTGGCCTGTGAGTATCACAGTGGCAACAGGCAGGACCCTTGCAAGATGGCTTGTAGTTGCATCAAGAGAAATCTGTGCCACAGTTACACCAAACTCCATTACTGGAAAGCTTGAACCCAACTGGTCTTTCTAGGCAGTTGGTAAAACTTTCCCCCACAGAAGTGCTAAGCAAGTCCTAAATATTTGTGCCAGTGGGTGCTGGGAGCCCTGGATTTATACCCCAGGGGTTTTATGAGCAACCGTGGACTCTTAAAACTACCTGGGCTTCTCCTGGGAATGGAGAGATGTCAGTGGGACAGTACAGTCGGTGTCACTATTACAGGCAGCGTTGCTGTCTGTAGCTAGCAGGGGTCTTGCTGTTAGGACATAGCCTCATTTTTTTTTAAGTTCAGAGTGCCTGGAGCAGACCAGGACATGACAGGAGTGAAAATAGCGCAGACTTCCCTCCTTCCTCCGTCTTCTGGGTCTGTGTATTGCTCTGTGTAATGGCAGTAGATATCCCAGGAAGGGGTTTGTCTCGGAAGAGCTGTGCAACAAGGCAGTTCTGAGAAGGGTTTATCAAATAAATTCACCCATCTGTCAGCAAAATGACTTTTCTCTTTTTCTCTCAACAGGAAGCCTGTTACTGGGGTGCTGATATAAGCGATTCACAGTTAGAGGGTGCAGATGTGAATATTAGGATCCAGACTTAATGGATAAGATTGAGTTACTGAAAGCTTCTGTGAAAGGTGTGTCTGTAGGCTTTCCAAGAGAGACACGTGATTTTTTTTTGTGGCTCTGGGGCTGTACAGGTCATGTAGGTTCTTCTGGGGGGATGTGTAGTTGAGCTGACTGTCAACAAATAGCTGAGTCATGACTCTGTAGTCCTAGCAAATGGGTAATTATTTGTTCTCCCCTCCCCGCCCCCTGCCTTGGAGAAGTTTGGCAATAGTAAACTCAGCAGAAGACAATGAAAATAATTGTCAGACACGGGCAGTAGTTGTCTGTCCTAACGGTAAATTTATGAATACCGCAAAGACCGCATACTATGTCAGAGTTCTTTGTGTCTTACAGGAACACAGCAAGGACAAATCCAAATAAAATGTGGATTGTGACTTAGATGTACCAGAGGAGTAATAGTGGGGACTCTGTAAGCTCAGCTGAATTGTTGATGTTTTGCCGTAGGAGTCTTTTAAATGACAATGCCTTTCTCCTGGAAGAGGTTATCTGTTTGCTCTCAGTTCATGAGCTAGTCTGTGGAGAAGGCAGTAATTTTATGACCTCATTTGGACCCCAAAGCCTGAGTCTAAATTAGTCCTTTATGAACTTCATGACAGAAAAAGGCTGGCTGTTTTTCCCTGTGCAAGGGTGATGAAGTCTGCATATTTTTTTTACCTCGCAATGTCTGTTTCTTACCAGAAGGCTAAGAAATATTATTTCCTTTTTGTAAGAATATGTATAGCTTTATTTCTTTCTTAAAAGCTGTGATGGGGCTTGGCTTCTAGGCTAATGGAAGGTATTTTGATGTCAGGTTTTTCTAGTACTGAATAAGTAATTGGTGTCTCTGCAACTGGTCAGGAGCTGTTACTTCTGCTTCTCTTGAGAAAGACTGTAGGTAACTCGTCCTTCCATTTGAAGATAAAATTGTCCTAAACTTGTCCTGCAAGTGTTGATCCAAGGATGGTCCAGGAAACGTTTTTCAGACTGTTCTCTTTGCCACAACCACCAGAAGGCAAGCAAGCTAAGAAAAAATCCTCCAATCTCCATAGCCTCTGCTGAATGGGGTACGCAGGGAGCCTGTTCCCCATGCCTGCGAGACATTTCTTCAAGGCAAAGGTCTTGAGAGGAGAACAGAGAAAGGCAGTGTACCAAGTATGTTTTCATCTGTGGCAGCAGATCTCACAGCGGGTGCCTTGGACAGAGACCAGCAGGTAGCAGCGCCTTGGCACCGTGTCACCTCCTGTACCATCTTTCCAAGGAGATGGAGTCTGGAGCGGCAGTCTGGAAGAAGCATAAACCTCTTCGCTCAGGGACTGTGATGGCTGGAAGCGGATACGCTGGTGTACGTGCAAAGGGCGCGCTGACCGTTCACAAGCAAGAACACGCCACACATTTCACAGCGGATTTCACTTCTCTCAGGCT